CCTTAGGCTCAGGTCATGATCCCAGGGTCCTGGGATCTCCCTCTCCCACTCCCCCTGCTTGTGTTCCCTCTCTTGCTGTGTCTCTCTCTGTCAAATAAATAAAATCTTTAAAAAAATAAAAAATAAAATAAAAGATAATTGATTAAAGCAAAAACAATGTATCTTGATAGAACATGCAGGACATGTATGACAATAAAACACAAAAGACTGGAAAGGAGAAATAAAACAGACTGTTGTAAGGTTTTCATATTATATGCAAAGTGGTGTATTATTTCAAGTAGACTACAGCAAATTAAAGATGCATACTGTAAATCATACAGCAATGATTACATCTGAGCTTAGCTAGTAAGTTAATAGTAGAAATAAACTGGAATCCTAAAAGATACGCAATTCAAAAGAAGGCCAGAGAAGAGAAAAAAGAAGGAACAGATGGGACAAAAAGAAAATACCAAGATGGCAGACAAAAATCCAATTGTAACAATAATTGCACTAAATAGAAATGGCTAAATAGTGCAATTAAAAGGCAGAAATGATATTGATAAAAGGAAGACCCCGGGGTACCTGGGTGGCTCAGTCATTAAGCGTCTGCCTTCAGCTGAGGTCATGATTCCAGGATCCTGGGATCGAGCCCCACATGGGGCTCCCTGCTCAGTGGGAAGCCTGCTTCTCCCTCTCCCTCTCCCTCCGCCTCTATTATCAGTCAAAGTGGACTTCAAGTCAAGGAATATGGCAGCAAAGAGGGACATTACATAATAATAAAAGGGTGAATTATTAAGAAGACAATAATCCTAAATCATGCAGAGCTCAAAATGAAGCAAAAACTGATAAAACTAAAAGGGGGAAATAGACAAGTCCACAATTACGGTTGATTTCAACACTCTTTTCCCAGGATTTGATAGAACAGAACAGAAAATCAGCAAAGATCTAGACGACTTGAACAACAGTATAAACCAAACTGATCTCATTGAACTTTATTGAACACCATATCTAACAACTGCAGAATACTATTGTTAAATAACAAAAATTGAACCAAGTAAATTTTAAAGATCTAATTGGCTTTACTGAACAATTCATGAATTGGTAGCATCCCATCTAGCAAGTAGAGGATAGCTCCAAAGGGCTACAGAAAAGGAAAGGTTTTTAAAGGGAGGACAAGGAAGTCATAAACAGGAAAAAGGATTATTTTGGGTGATGTCACCTTCCTTTGGGGAACAAAAGGATCTTATTAGGTGGATTGCTTCATCTTCCTTTGGGGATTGGGGAGGGCCCATGTGACGGATTACCTTATTGGTGCTGACCAGAAAATTCCTGACAGGTTAAGACTACATTTCCGGGGGAAGTTGAAACTGCAATTAAGTTAAGCATTACACCCTGGTTTGTTGATGTGGCCTAGCATAAATGACTCCATTCTGGGTCTGTGATTTTCTTTTTAACACTACTCAAGTGCCCTTAAAACATTCACTATGATAGACCATAGTCTGGCCCGTAAAACAAGTCTCAATAAATTCTAGAGTTAAACTCATACAGAGTACTTATGACCATTATGGAACTAAATCTGAAAATAACAAAATGATATCTGGAGAATCCCCAAATATTTAGAAATTATACACACTTTTATGTAATCCACGGTTCAAAGAAGAAATCACAAGTGAAGTTAGAAAATGTTTTAACTGAATGATAATGAAAACATCAAAATTTGTGGGATGCAGCTAAAGCATGCTTAGAGGGAAACAGATAGCTTTAAATGCTTTTATCATAAAAGAAAGGTCTAAAATCAGTGACTTAAGCTTTCATCTTAAGCAACTAGCAAATTTAATCCAAATAAGTAAAATGAAGGAAATAATGAGCAGAAAACAATGAAACAGAAAACGAACATACAATAGAGAAGAATAAGAACAAGAGCTGATTTTTCCAAAAAAAGATCAATAATAGATATACCTTCAGTTTGACCAAGACACAAATTACCAATATCAGAAATGAAAACAGACATTGAAAGGATAAGAGACACACTTTATGCCAATAAACTGAAACTTAGAGGAAATGGACAAACTCCTCAAAGACATAAAAAGACAAAAATTGACATGATAGAAAATATAAATAGCTCCAGATCTAAATTGAGTTCTTACTTAAAAACCTTGCCATGATATACATCTGCACCTAAGAATCACAGGACTGCATAAAACTTGAGGCCCCCTAATCCTTTCCTTCCCAAGGAACCCCCAAGAAAAAAGGACTCTAATTACAGGACAAAACACGGAAGTCTTCAAGGCCATGAAATTGGGTAATGTGGTAGTGGGGGAGCTTTTGGTAGGATGATCAGAAGTCAAAAAGCTCTTAAAATAATCTTTTGTCTGCCATACAGCTAGTGTATGATGGGCCTCACACTAAGTCTTTTCTGAGAGGTATAAATTACTCTGGAATGCAGAACAAGACTAGAGAAGGGACCAAGAGGGAAGGATTCCTCCAATAGACACCTGCACAGAATAGGATACTTCACAGGTGTTTGGCCTCCAGCAGACGCTACCTTGTAATACTATTCATTGCCTAGAATGCCTTAGGTACAAGCAGTTCTCTGGAACAGGTAGTGGAAGTGGCCAATTAAAGAGTCAAGGTTCAGAAAACCCTATTAGAGCCTAATATAAACAAATACTGAGAGATTAAATGAGTTCAGACATGCCTTGGCAGTTAATTAAAATGGAACAGAGATTAGAATCTCAATCTCAATTTAGTGTCCTTTTTCCTCCACCCACTGCCAACTGCCTCTGATCAAAATTTTGCACTGGAGATTTTCATACTCAAACTGGGCATTTCCTGTCAAGCTTGGGTATTAATCAGCTGATTATTGAGGGGAAAAAAAGGGTGGGGGGACACTTAGCATAGTACCTGATGCACAAGTAAATGCTGCACAAAATCTTAGCAAAATTATCCCTTATTTTTGGCCTCTTAATTGGGAAAGATTGGCTTTATTAGGTGATTAATGATTAATTTACAAATGCAAATCTTGGGTAGATAATTTGCAGGGTGGGGGAGGAGAGCAGGGTGGTAGTGGTGGTGGTGTGGAGACTGCATGCCAACAGCAATCTGAACACAGTGTAGAAAAGGAAAAATATTTTTTAAGTTCTTGAGTTGGATCCCTTTAACATAAGAGATCAACAAGAGAAACATACAAATGTATTAGGTTTTATATAATAACACAGGAGCCCTCATAAGGAAATGAAGACCCAAAGAAATGGTTAAATATGGGTTTTTTTGTTTGTTTTTTTTAATTTTATTTGACAGAGAGAACACAAGCAGGGTCAGCATCAGGCAGAGGCAGAGGGAGAAGCAGGATCTCTTCTGAGCAGGGAGCCCGATGCGGGGCTCCATCCCGGGACCCCAGGATCATGACCTGAGCTGAAGGCAGACGCTTAACCGACTGAGCCACCCTGGCACTCTTTAAACCTGTTTTATGCTGGGTTTGATGAAAACTGGAAAGTCATGGAAAGATACGATACAGCAGAGTATGGGTTATGTGTAACAAACTGAGGCAAACTCAGCAAGGCCGGCTTGTTCAGATTCCTCTTCTGTGTCCTTTTGTCTTCTGAGGTAAGGATGCTCCTTTCCTCTGAGTACAGGGAGGGCACTTCTCACATTAGGGGTTGTGACCTGCTTCAGGGAAAGGTCAGAGGGTTCTTCCTGCACATGCCATTTCTCAAATTCCTTCAGCTTAAAATATGCACTATGCTAAGGTGCCATATTTTGGGGTATCATGTCCTGAACCCCATCAAGAGTCATTCACCCTTTATTTTCAATTTACAGAAATAATGCAAACTGTACATGAAGCAAAGGATTAAAATAAAAAAGACTGTATACTTAGCAGAAAACTCACCTGCAGAGAGAAGGACCCAACAGCTTGCACTGTCCTTCCCATTCTTGAGCCTGCCTTCAAATTGGGCAAACCAAAAGCAAGGTTCTGCCTCTCCTTTCTTTGACTAGATTGGTAACAGCACAACTTGTGATCTTTGTTTTCCAGAAGAAAGAATGGGATGGGTCAGCAAAGAAGTCAAGGTAAGCTCACTTACTCAAGAGCATCTGCAAAGAAAAGACCTTTACACTAACATTAGTTCCATCCAACCCCCTGATATTTGAGCTTAATTAATGCCAAATAATAGAACTTTCCTCTCTTCCTGTCAAACCAGCAAACTTTCACTCACGTAGGGATCTAGTGATTTTGAGTTCTCCTTGGTTCTTTCAACCCTCTCTGGAAAGAGTATTGTAAGGGAGGAAAATAATATTCTGTCTACCCTTCTAAGTTCTTAGCTGAGACCCTTGTAATAAAAAACAGATTAACAAGAGAAAAAACAGAATTTATTAACATGTACACTCTATGTATACATGGGAGATACCAAGAAACTCCCCCAAATAGCTTAGAATTCAGGCTTAAACAGCATATTAATAGGAAAAGGGGCGGGATGATGTAGGCCTCTTAGGGAAGAGTGATTTTTAGGAAAGATGAATGGGCCCTTAGTAGAGCAGGTGGGAGGGATGATAGTTGTGGAAGTTCATCTGGCTGTTTTTTCTAGTCTCCTCTTCTGTGATAAGAATCAATTTTCCCTGGTTGATGAAACTCTCAGGGAGGGGGGATTTATGATTTATGACAAGTTGTGTTCCTTTTAGAGGAGCTGTCTTTAGACAGATAAGGGGAGCTCAAAGAAAGCCTCTATTTGTATTTGCTGTTTTAAAGTGCCTGACTCAAAACAGTCAAGATGCCTAAGTGGCATATTTTGAGGTGGTAAATTCTGCTACCCTTCAGTATCATAGCATATTGGGCTCTGCATCAGGAGGAGCAATGTTCACTTTTAAATCTAATCTGGAGAAGGGGGCTGTTCAGCGTCCACAGCAGGGCTCCTTCCAGGAGTTGACTGAAAACCAGAGCAGGAAGCACAAAATGTTTTCCTTATTCTCTGTTCCCAACACAGGTATGGCCAAACATTCAACTATGCAACAGGCCTTCTCAAACCTCTCTTCCAAGGTTGTATTTTATTTGAAATGCAAACAATAAAGGTGGGTTTTGTTGCCTCTGAAACACAAGTCACAGCAAAGCACAATCAGCTGTTTTAATTTCTTGCTAAAAAGAAATGACGCTTTTATTTTCCACTGTTTTATTATAAAAATCAACATTTCATTTGTTACAACTCAGCTTATTGTAATAATCAAAAGGGGATTTATACAAGGTATTTTTATACAGTTTACAATTAAAGCACTTATTTTACAAAAAGGGGGAAGTGAATAGTGGACAAGGGCTGACCAAATGTTGGCCATTAAAATATAAATACATCCTTGCAAAGCACCATCGTACCAAAGTCCATGGACAAGAAACACCAGCTGACTTTAAGACAATAACAAAGATTAAAGCTTAAGAAAAAATTTAAAAACACAAAGGATAAACATCTGAAAGCAGCACCAGATCCTTCACTTGCAAATAAGGCTAGTCCAGCTTAAGCTTCTTGGTATCCTCTTAACTCTTTTCAAATTTTCTAACCCCAGATACTTAATTTCATGTAAAATTAGATTTATTCACTTTCTTTTCCTTTTAATATTCATATTTAGGTATATCTATCTATCTACAGATATAGATAGACAGATCTATATATACATATATATCCCTGCCCTGCTTATATTTGTTTTAAAAAAATGGACAGTTAAGCATAAGCAAAAGCACATTGTCTCTAAATCTTTGGTGTAAACTTTTGGGTAAACCCTAGGTAGCAGTGAAAATCTACAAGTTAGTTTTTGTTAGGTCTATATTCTTGAGTACAAGAAATCACATAGTCTATAGTTGTATCTGTAAAGTCATGAGGATTTTTTCCAGCAATAAACTTAACAATAGCTTAAGGACGCTTTATGAAAAAGAAAAACCGAGCAAAATTTACCTGGACTTAAGGAGGGCGAGAGTAGTCAGTAAGAATCAGAGTCAGTAAGAATCTTAGATCTAAGATTCTTACTGACTACCTCCTTCTACTCAGGTGCAGGCTTAGTTTAATGAGATGCAGAATCAAGGCAATGGAAATATCCTGAGTATATGGATTCACAAGCTCATAATTTAAAATTTTTAAACTATAAATGTAAAATGTTATCCCCTAAAACTGAAAATTTCATAAGCCAAATTTTGGGACTATTATAAAATGATACTATCCCAGAAGTCAGAAACCACACATATGCTACCAGTACTTTCTAAAGAAAGTTATTTCTCTTGGCTCATTTTAGGCTTCGGATAAAGAAAGGAATACCAAATAAAATTAGAATTTAAGAATTCTGAGAACATGTTTTCAACAACACTTGATCCTGACTCAGTCCCTGTCTACACTTGGTGTATAGTCTCATTTGTGGGTGCCCAAACATTTGTTGGCCAACTGATACTCACATACTCGTAGCCACACTCCAAACATACTATGTATGTCATTATACAGACTTAAGCTTATTAAAAGCTTGGGGGTATGAAAAGCCCAAGACTTTTGTTTCTCAATTTTGTTAGATGTGTAATGGTAACCAATACGCAGCTCTTATGGCATGCAAATCAATGAAGTGGCAAGTTGCCCCTGCAGGAGAAAAAACAATTTTAAACACTACGTTTCTAGGAATCAAATCTAGGCACAGGACGGCACCAACACAACCATCACAGAGAAGCAGAAGTAGTCTATTAGGAGTGCTGGTGTCCCGTTACATAAACACACACAGATCCATTAACAGGCTAGGGAAGCCACGGCTACTAACTCACCTTGAAGTATTCTTCATTAATAGGCCTTGATGGCAAAACAAAAAGATTTTACCCCAGAACCAATTGCTACCTAACGGAGATGGTGGCTACTTTTATATTTTATCAAAGTTGGAGTTGGCCTTATACAAACTACTGACCCTGAAGGATTTTAAAATGATGAAAAAATACAATCCTCAATCCGTGCTAAAATTTTACTGCTCAAAAGCCCCGCCCCCAAATTATTGGCCTGTTAGATGAAAATGTACTGTAAAGTCTTCATTTCTAAGTATGTATCGTCCCTTTAGAGTAGCTGTGCTCGAGGATCCATATACCTCTTGGTGGTATATCACAAAGTATTTTATATTAAAATTAAAATAACTAAAGGAACTCTAATTTTCTGCTAAACAGATGACATCTCATGAATGCTACTACAGAAGAGCAGTCAAGTGTCAGAGGCATAAGAAAATTCCATGAAAGAAAAATTAATACTGAGAATCCCTTCTATCCCTTAACTCCATTTTTTTCCTTGTGACTTAAGCAGCAAAATCCCTTGGGCCACTGTTCAGAAGACCAGGGCTCTGAAGGAGACAAGTCCTAAATTATAAAAGTTCAGAGTTAAAAAGACCACCTCAATGAAGACTAGTCTACTATATAGTGCACGAAAAATATGCTATGCTAGAGCTCATTTCTCAATTTCAATCACATCAGTAAATAGGCATACTTTAAGACATATGTTCAAAATTAAATACTTTAGTATTTAAGGAATCTAGTAACATTTTATTCCTTTTTTCTTCATGGATAGTGAATATAGCAATACACCAAATTCCAAACCCTTTTCCACTTTTTCCCCTGATTTGTACTGTTTATTTTTTATCCTCAGTTTCTCCAATTAAACCTCTTGTGTTTAATAATCAAGAGAGTTTACTTAAGCTTAACTGTCCATGTAACCTGAGGTCCAATCTTTCCTGAATTTTGATAATTCTCTCATTTAAAGGTACCCTCCCCAAAATATTAAGAATCCATCTCAACTACCCCAGAAAGAGGATTCTGAGATTAAGCGGATCTGCCTTCAAATAATTTCAAACAAATTGGCACACAAATCAGTATTTTGCAAGAAGAGGCCATTGCCATCGCAGTACAAGCACTTGGACTGAGATATAACAAGGCAATATTCTTCTTAATTCGTTATAGTGCAAGTTTCCACATGGGAAGCCCACCGGATAAAGATGCACATTAAAAAATGTAAACATATAGAATTCTCAAATTCTGATTGATACCCAGTTATTGCTAACCTTTCCATCTTCATTTAAGCATCAAAGGCCCCCGTGTCACAGAATGCAACTCCAGTGTCCATTCTGTTAGACTGTGGGCACTTTGTCCACCGACAGGAAGAGTTAATGCTTGTTTGACTGAAATGCAAGACACTGATGGATCACCATTTATTTATATGCAAAATCAAGTGCACCTGATTCGTATAAGGTGTCCCTAACAATCTAAGCATTATTCTGAAACCACGTTTTTTTCTCTTTAAAAAATTTCCTTAGGTATTTTTAATTACTTAAAAAGTTCCTTCATCCCTGCCAAAATTCTGAATCTTTTCTTCCATTGTTTTCTCTTGGGCCCTGAAATCCAGAGAGGAGGCCTCAACAAGACAGAATTAAAAAAAAAAAAAAATCACTCAGTAACTGACCGACATCTAATAAAGTAAAAATACATTAGTTTAAAAACACACTCCGTTTTAGCAGAGAAGTGCTGGAAACATGTAAAAAGCAGGAAACTGACTTGTGGCAAGGTGGCAGAGCAGTGCTAGAATCATCCCACATGTCAGTCCTAAGAGCTGAGGATGCAGCAGCCCGACGACCACGCAGGTCAGGCAGATCATGGAAGAGCCTTCCATTATTCCCCTCCACCCAAGTTCTGACAGCTGAGAAGTGACTAGTTGGCCTTCTCATTTAACCCATATTGGTAAATTTGTTTAATCATCTTAATCCGTAACGGGATAAGAGAGAACACACACAAATATATGAGGTGAGTATAAGAATAATTTGTGGATAATTTGAAAACAATCTAACATTCACATTGGGTAACAGGAAGATATTAAACTCATGTCACACATTAAAAGAGGTATGTATGTAGACATCATTCTGAGAAAAATTGGCCTAAAGAACATGAAAATGTCACAAACAGTTAATAAAGGGAAAACCTAATGATAACAAAAAAATTCTCTCTTTAAATAGATTGTCTCTAACCGGAACATATTTAAATGTTTTACTAGGAAAAAAAAATATATATATATAAACGATTTCATATTGTGATATTATATGCTGAAAGTACTGCAAGGATATATGATTAATTTACAACAAAAACATAATGGTTAAATTTGTAATTCTTAAACATTGCCTATATGTGTTGTAAAAAGAGATTTTAATGAGCATTAAAACAATCTTGGAAGAGGAGCAATAATATGTCTACCCTTTGATCATTATGCAAAAACAGCAGTCAAATTCAAGAGCTAAGCCTACAGAGGAATGGAGCTAGTAGAAATATTAAAATGAAACCTTAATTTAGAAAATTCCATTTAATCAATCCTCAGATAAAAAGCTGTGAATAAGTCGTGATATCTTGGCAAAATGGCCTACAAAGCTGCTGGCGGGGAGGAAGCAAGGTAAAAACACCTAGAGAAAAAATTAATTCTTTTGACAGAGGCTGTGGGTTCTAAGGTAGGGACAGAAGACTTGCACACACAAAGAGCCCCACACCATCTTACTGGACAGCTGATCTCCTACAAGAGCAACACCCAGAAGGGATTTTTATAAATACCTATTTTCCTCACTAAAATAATTGGATTCCTAGAGAAAACAAAGCCCTTTGTCCAAAGTTAGTTTTAATTCCTTTTTTTTTCCTTTTGTGATTTCTTAAACTTGTTGGCCCTCAAATGTTAGTTAACATGAAGGCTATTTGGCTACTTCCAAGTATCTATGGTTTGCTACTCTGAGATGGACTTAAATTTTTCTTCTTCTTCTTCTTCTTCTCTCTCTCTTTTTTTTTTGGTATCAATAAAGCCCAGACATTCCTGGTCAATGATGCCTTTATTATTCCTGTTTCCTTTGTACTCAGTCACTTCACTGGGTTTAAGGCATGCTTTGTGTATTTAGTTTGCAAAAATAAAACTTTTAGTACAAATTTATTTTTTACAAATTTTTATGGCACAAGCAGCAAATCTGCTGTTTTAAGAAAATATATAAATATCCTTTTCTTCTGTACAAATATCTCCAGTATTCCCTACCCCATTTATAATTTTTAACTGTACATGGTCTGCCTCATCTTTCTCTAATAGCTCCCTCCCCCCCTCCAGATCTCAACCAAATTTGTATTTACATTTTTGCATTGGAGGCAGTCAGAGGAGGAGGGCCCCTCCTCAGGAGGAGTCTGTACAGGGAGAGGGCGGCGGTGGGTAGAGGTGATGAGAGTAGCTCCTCTCTGTGTATGGAGAAGGTGGGCAGCTTTCATAGTTCTCTTCTGCTGACAGGTATTGGCTTCGGGGTGTGGGAGGTGGGGGCACAGGCTCTGAGTCATAGTTCAAGTCACTAGTGTAGCCCTTGGCTGTTGCCACTGAGGTCATTCTCCGGCTGGGAGCATAGTCACTGTCACAAACATCTGTGCTGCAGGGCGTGGTAGGGGGTGCAAAGTGCCGGTAACTGTATGGCCTGTAGCTGGTAAGGGGGAAAATCGAGAGAAGCAGGCACTTAGTTTTACAGAAAAGCTGTTTTCCCTATCAGAATACAGAAGTATTAGATGTAAACTTCACTTTGAGTAGAATACGCTACTACAAATTTAAATTTGTACAGACCAGGAGGCAATTTGCAACAGCCAATTAAAGGAGGAAGATAGCATGTATTTCATATTTGCAAATAAAATGTGACTAGAGGCATTTCAAAATGGATAGGATGGGAATGCAGAGGTAAACTCAACCTAGCCTCTGGATGTGCTCTTATACCTTCTTCAAGTTAAACCGCATCACTGAATAACAAAAAACTATTCAAAGTAGTACTTAATGATCATCTCTGGAAAATCTGTTACACATTTTGCATTTAGTCTATATAGTGGACGGACGTCACCAATTTCTGCCGTTCCATAGTCTGTGAGAAGAATGGGTGGGTCTTCACATATTTGATCCTACTCAACCATGTTAGTATTCCTTTAACATTCTTTAACTGCTCTATAATTTACCTAATGAATAATTTAATGATGTCTGAAGACTTCATTCTCTCTTTAAAACAAATATTGTGCAAGCCATGCTGAATTCTGGTAGACAGCCTAAGGGGCATATCTATCCCATTACTGTTACTATCAGCAAAGACAAAGTGCTATGGTTTGGGGGAAAGAGTTCTGATCCCTTGTGTACAGACAAGCATACTGTCCTAACAACAAAATGATCAATTCTAAATATCCATGTAGGACCAGTGTATTTTCTAATATGTACTTAGAGACCTAATTTATTTCTTATACTTGTTGTTCCACCTTTTCAAATAATCTACAGCTACAATCAAGGTTGCAGCATGGTTAACTAATAAAAAAGGAACTGAGAAGACATGAACACACTAGTGAAAAGAAGAGCTAAAAGTGCTAGCTTTCCTATCGTTTCTATTTCTATCTGTGACCTCATATACCACTTATATTCCAAATATCATAGAGCTGATCTTATTTCATATTTATCCCAATCAAGGTTTCTTCATATGCTTGGTCACCAAAGTGACTACAAGTGAGGCACAGGAGCATGTGTAAACCTGAAGGAATAATCCATAAGATGCCCAGTGCTACAGACTGCCACAAGATACTATCCCAAGATATAAACCATTTGATATCACCCAGGGTTTGCCTCAAAAGAAATGGCTGCCAAAAGAACAAAAGGTACATGACCTGCTGAGCAGGTTCTCAAGCGTTTTTACTACCAATACTGACATGATGTCATAGTACTTTTTAGGTTTTATCTTTCTGTCCAATCAGGCATTGAGTCTTGGTGAAATTTCTTGGCTCAACATTTAAAAGGCCCAACACTTCCATTTTCATGGGGGGAAAAAAAAAAACAGCTAAGAAGAAAGGAAATAAAATTAACAAAATTCTTGTATGTTCTCGTCTGGACAAAAATCTCAACAAATGATGAGAAGTGTGACTCAGAAGAAAGAAACTGGGCTTAATTTGAGACCTGGGAAATGGTCAAATAAGAAATGTTTTTGATGCAATTATGTTCATTTTAATCAATGTTTTATTCAATTTAAATAAATTAATTTTTCATTTTTTTTTTTTAAGTAGGCTCCACGCCCAACGTAGTGCTTGAACCTTGAGATCCTGAGATCAAGAGCTGGATGCTCTAAGAACTGAGCCAGCCAGGTGCTCCAAAGAAATTGATTTTTTAAAAATAAAATTTTAAGTCTTTCATTTTGTTTTTTCAGTTTATGGGTTTCTGTAACTGAACAATCAAACTAGTGGCAAGGAAAGCAACATTTACAATAAAACATAAAAACATCAGTTCAGAATCAAGCCTATCTCAAAGAGTCTTATCTATAAATTGAAATGCGAGTTCTGAATAAGGTACTATAAACAGTTTCCACTTGGTTTTTATATATCTGTAAGGTTATATCAGAATAATTTGACTAGAAGTCTAGGAAACACCTTAACTAGAAGATAACAGGCACTTGAGGGATGCCAATAAACACAACACTCAGCATTTAGAGACTATCAAGCTGTTGACTTTCTGCTGGCCTTTGAAAGAAGATGAAAAGAATGCTCACTTCGGCAGCACATATACTGAAAGAGGATGAAAAGACTAAGAATATAATATACTAGTACTTCACCTGCTCAATATGCTCTACAGACACAAATCAGCAGAAAGGCATGATTTCCCCCTTTCTGTCTTACAAATATATTTCATTTATTTTAGTGAGTCATGATTTATTCCAAGCAATCTTATGAGAATTTTTTCATTCCAGATTGTAATAAAGTGTGTGAAGCAAGGGCTGAACTTCAGCTTCTCTCGACTTCTCTCGAATTCTATGCTCTTAGTCCCCCTGCTATTTACAGCTCTCACAACTCTCTGAAGTTAGGTTTGACTGACAGTCTAAGAAGGGGTTATTGGACAGTCTTACGTCAATAGACTATCTTACGCCAATTAGACGATCAATCAAACCTAACTTGAGCAGTAACCTATTTTGAGATCAGTTATTTTGGTGGGTAACTTTTCCTTAGAATACTGTTAACAGTATTAGGGGCTCTACTTTATTACTCTAAAAGCTAGCATTTGTGACTCTCTTTAAAAAAAATGTATAATGCCCGAAAGAAAAGGATGCGTGGAAGGGGCAACATTAGCATTACCAAGACAAGATGCCTATTCTCTCTCAGTGACCATCATCTACTTATGCAGGGCTACATCACACCCACAACCAGAGTACTTCTTTCTTCTATACTTTGATTATACTAGAGGAAGATATGTATTACCTGTAGGACCTATGAGTGGAAGGACTATTCGAAGAATAACCAAATTCCATAGTGTAATGTGATCGCTCTGTGGCTGGGGATGGCGGAGGGTTCAAAATCTAAAGGGAAAAATAATTAAATTATTAAAATAACAATAGTCTATGCCACACAAAGACCATTAGACTTTCCTACATGCTCTTGCTTCATCTGTTTGTATTCCTTTCCATTACAAGGTTAGCACAATCTTTCTTTCCCAAAGAACTGACCTCAAATAGTACTTTAGGAGTGGGGCTCTCCAATCCCTAAAACACAATTTCATCACGGCTAAACAGTGCAATGTGATAAGAAGGAAATCTGTACGTCACTGGTTTAAGTTCAGCACAGCTGGGTTCTGATTTTTTTTAATTATAAATATTTAGAGAAACATTACTGACTGAGGAGAAATACCAGGTGTGCTTCCTTTTTTGGGGAGGTCACAGAATGTAGATCCTAAGCCTCTCAAGAGATACTATTCAGTAGTTCTACTTTTACCCAAACTATGAAATTACTGCCTAGTGCTTTCAAATATGCTGGTTACTACACAGTAAACTTAAAGGTTTAGATTTAAGAGTGCTTATGTGGTGGTGGTAAATCCCACCTGTGAGCCCTATTTGCCTAAATTGTATACTAAAAAATTCTTTACATTACCATCATTGAGTACCCCCATTTCAATAGGTTAAAAATCTAGGATTCTATTTATCTTAGCATTCAAAGTCAAACAAAGGAAAACAGACTGCTTACTGCAGGGAAGTAAGTGCCTTTGGTGCTTGAAGAACTACTTGATGATGCTCCTGTGACATGAGCTCGGTCATAAGGGGGTCCACTGCTTCCCCCCATGATACTTAGGGAGCTGATCATTGATTTACCTCGAGACATTCCTAAAATGAAGGATAAATACTGAAGATGAATAAGATCTATAAAAATTATTTCCACGCATAAAATGTTTTTATTCAACACTAGGATTACAAATAACAATAGTCAAATGGTTTAATTTTAAAACAATTTATGCCCTCTTCTCCTAATAATAATCGAAAGTACTTAATGGAGAAGGGAAATGAATGTTCTCTAGACATGAACACTGCTGAGAGCTGGCCTAGAACAAGGCTAAGTAAATAGTTCCTATCCCTTCTCTCCAAGGATAGAAGCAGAACTCTTCAAAATAAGAAGTTTTCAACCTTAGAGGATTTGCAGAAGAAAAGGACTATGGGGAGTGGAGGTTGTAAAGCAGGATAGATTAAAGAACAGATTTACTCAAGGGGAAACTAAATCCACTTTTAAGGGCATTAATACAAAGTACGGATTACTTCTTCATCTTCTAGATGCAAATGTTGTTGGAATCACAACCACCAATGTGGAAGAAGAAATTCTATTATTTTCCAAGTGACTTCCCATATTCCACTAACTGAAAATAGGTATAGCAACAAGGAATCATTATCATTAATAGTTTCAAAATCGTATCTGTTTTCTTAGATTTACACCCAGAGTAAGTTCTTATTTTCTGAGAGCTTTTGCCTCCCTCTCCATATTCATTTAAAAAAAGGCTTCTTTTCACTATGGGCACCAGAAGGCACTGAAAAGAAAGCCGTACTTCCCTAGGGCAATATGGTCTACCCAAACACGTGGAATTTCTGGCTACTTAGTTATTGTTTAGGCATAGCCTAAGATAATATATCCCTCCCTGTTATCACCCAGCTATTTCCAATCTTTGCTGAAAAGGAATCTTAATCTATTTTTTTCCCACCTTTAACTGCTGGGCTCCATAGTACTGAGGTCCCCCGGTAGTGCACCTAAAGGACCTGTGGTTTATGACTCCTCAACAAATGTCTAGCTATTTACTTTCAGGAGAGCACATCCAGAAATGCAGTACATGTAGTACGTGCAATAAATGCAGTCGGTATGTATAAATATGGGTATTATGTATTTGCTTTATAACCTTTCATAAAAAGAGACAGTGCTAAAAGTAAAAGAGAACATTTGTTCTTAGAAGTTTTTAAACCCAAAGTAGTCTAGTTTGGAATAGACTCTAGGCAATATCCTATTTCCATAATGGAAAGTTGGCAATCCTGCCAGTATCCCAGACTTGATTCTCAATGGATCAGTCTTAACTCACCTGGAAGAGATCCTGACAAAGAACTCGGATGTGGCACATAACCAAGGGGCACAGAAGCTGGTCCATGAACTACATAGTCATTAGTCATGGTTTCCCCATCTCCCTTCATACGTGGACACAACATTCTCTGGCAGATAAAGTATATGGTTCCAGACACAAAAATGGTGACAATTACTCCAATAACTGAACCAACCGTGTTGGTGGCCTGTGGAGCTGGTTCCTCAGTTGGATCTAAAATGAGAATGCAGTAGAGTTATATAAAGGAGAAACAACTGTAGACTCAAAATAGTTATTAAAAAGAGGGCTTCTGAGTAGAATGTGAGCTAGTGAAGACAACTCACAACCATTTTTTTATTTCTATGAATACTTATACACCATACCCCATTAGGTATATAGGTAAATATCATTAGAAATCAAAATGAACTATCTTTAAGTGAAGACAGAAATAAAATACATTGAAAAGTGTATCTATAAATTCATAAAAACAAAGATGTAAGTGAATCATAGATTTAAACATCATTAAGTTCTAAATACACAGATAAAATTTATCCTACTTCATTTTGTATATCATAAAATAACATGGTTATTTTGAATTTCAGAGAAAATTTTAGGGCCAAAAGGGATGGACCTAGGAAAGTCATCAAATGTTTTACCTGGCATAATGAAGAAGCCAAAAGCAACTCTGAGCTTGATTTTAGGTTTGAAAAGTGACATATAGGCCTGGTGAAGGGAGATCAGAAGCTAAAGAGAGCACTAGCTCTCAGGCCCAATATGCTGGTGCCTTCAGAGTGAATCTATTGCCTGAGGGCAAGAAACGTAAGGTCTCTGATACTTGAGTACTTACAAAGGCCAGAGCCTGAGAACACTAGAGGAAGACCCTGTGCATGGCACTCACCTTTACCAGATCTGTGAGCTATGAGGCTCTAAAAGCAGGAGGCATCAATATTACAGGTGAAGGTAAATAGTAAAAGGGCTTGTCAAGTTTAGAGCGTTACTCTTCTATTTGGAAGGAAAATCCTTCCATTCTGAATAGTCAGACTATATCTCACACTGCAGATCTTTTATGTGTGTGTGTGTGTGTGTGTGTGTGTGTGTGTGTGTGTGAAATTATTTTTGAGAGAGCAAGAGTGTGAGCGGGGAAGAGGGGCCGAGAGGGAGGGAGAGGGAGAAAATCTAAAGCAGACTCCCCACTGAGCACATCCCTACAACAGGCTCAATCTCATGACCCTGAGATCATGACCTGAGTGGAAATCAAGAGTCAGATGCTTAATCAGCTGAGCCATTCAGGGGCCTTACAACTACAGATCTTTTAAAAACCTCTCTTCTGCTTCATCTTACCTTAAATCTCCCACCCACACAGCTAAACTTGACTTCCGACAGATTAAATAAATGAGAGAAAATGCTATCACTAAGTTACAGAATATGCAGAGGCTGCCAGTTACATATGTTGTCTGTGGACTCGGGGGTACAGATTCTCCCTAGTCCTTGTGAGCAGTCATCTATCTTTCTTATTCCTTTCCAGTGCCTTGGCATTGCTTTCTAATGCCAAGCTTCAAGAAAGAATAGTTTATACTCACTATCTCCAATTCTTAGTCTTCACATCTTAACTCACTGAAATCAGGTTTGTATCCTCACGGCCACAGTAAAACTTGTCTGACAAAGGTCAAAGTTCTCCTATTTGCCATATTCATTAAACTCTTCATCTTACTGACCTCTCCAAACATTCAATACCGATGGCTCTTGTTTTCTTCTCAAAAATGCCTAATCAATATCCTTCCAAAATATCACTCTCTTAGTTTTACTAGCTCTGATTATTCTGTTTCCATTTGTTTCCTTCTCTTCCGTCTCTTAAGTGCAGAGTTCTTGCCATAGTTCTATGTCCCACTATTTTCCTCTACTTAACTCTCTCTGAGAGACTTCATCCACAATGCCTCAGCTTTAATTATCTTTAATAAACTGAAGAGGCCAAATCTCTCTCTTGAGCTAAAGACCCACACAATGGACAACAACTTCCTGAACAGCTTCATTGGGATATCCCATTGACAACCTGAATGCAACCTATCTACCCTGCACACTCATCTTCACCAATATCCAACAGGTTTTGTGGCTCCCAGGAATAAAGCAGATCATAAATAAATGATGGCACCTGTGGCAAATCAAAGGCATTTAAATTAAATTTTAAAAAAGTAATAAAAAACCTGTATCAGACAAATATTACATCCGGACCCCAAGATACGGAATGATCCTTCAGTTTTCAGTCTCTGCTATATATTCTAGTTAATGACTCCAGTCACTCAGTGAGGTACTTTTGAGTCAACCTAAACTTATCAACTACATCTAAATGGTTGCAAAACCTTTTTTACTCTATTTCTGAAATCTATCCCCTCCTTTCCACTACCAGTGCTCCTCTTGATTTAGATAATTATCTTCTGCCTGAACTATGATAGCCTCTTAAGTATTTTTAAATTAGAGGCTGCAAGTCATTAGATGGTGAAAACAATTTAGTGGGTTGCAATCAGCATTTTAAAACAGAAAATTTCAGAATACATTCTATATCATATGGGTAAGTACTGTTGTATGACACTTTTGTTTCTTCATGTGTACACCCACATCACTGTATTCCTCTTGATGTGATCAAAATGTGTGAAAGCAATCAATCTAACATTTCCCTGCCCATTATCTTATACTTCCAATCCATCTATTTTTACAGCTTTCACAATTACATAGCCATGCCAGTCCTTTCCTTAAGCTTTTCAATGGCTCTCCGTTATTCTGGATGCTATGTCTAGGCTCTTTCAAAGAAAAGCAAAGTCTTCTCTGATCTTACCTTTACATATGTTCTCTTGCTGATACCCCTCCTCAAGACATAGCTTGTATTCTGGCAGTCCCAGTTACATGTAGTTTCCCAAAGGTGCCTGTTCCACTCTCTTTTTGAATAGCATACTCTCTGCTTGGAATACAATCTCTCCATTTTTTTTTTTTTTAATTTATTTATTTGAGAATGAGGGAGAGCACATGAGAGGGGGGAGGGTCAGAGGGAGAAGCAGACTCCCTGCCGAGCAGGGAGCCCGATGTGGGACTCGATCCCGAGACTCCAGGATCATGACCTGAGCTGAAGGCAGTCGCTTAACCAACTGAGCCACCCAGGCGCCCCACAATCTCTCCATTTATCTATACAATTAACACTCTTCACTGATCAAGGCCCAATTTTAAGTATCATTTTTCTAAGATGTCTTCCTTGATGAACCCCATGTTCACTCCTGAAGATCGGACCACTCTCTTTTTTGATGCTATTTGTAAAGATCTCTATTATAGCACATTTAATACCACTTATCACACTCCTTTATCAACAGTGTCTACTATGAGCCAGGCTATAGAGCTTATATACATTGAATTGTTTAATTTTCTCACAACCACCAGGCTTAAATATTATCTTCATTTTAAAGATAAAGCAACTCAAGTTTAACAACAAATAATTTGCTGGTAAGAGGTGGAGCTAGAATTCAAATCCATCTCTATTTGGCTTTAAAATCTTTATTCTTACTACTAGCTCAACCAGAGAGGACTTTGAGAAACTTGGTACAGGAACCATGTACCCTCAACACATGGCAGGTATTCAGTAAAAGTCTGCTGAATAAATGAGTAAGTTCTAAAAGTCTTAGTAAGGATCCCATTTGAATTTTGTAAAAATACCAGCTTAAAGTCTTCATTATGTGTAAAGAATTTTTAAATGAATTCTACCTAAATTTCACTAAATCAGTTTGACAGGGTAGACCTGACTTTTTTTTTTTTTTTTAAAGATTTTATTTATTTATTTGACAGAGAGAGAGACACAGCGAGAGAGGGAACACAAGCAGGGAGAGTGGGAGAGGGAGAAGCAGGCTTCCCGTGGTGCAGGGAGCCCGATGCAGGGCTCGATCCCAGGACCCTGGGATCATGACCTGAGCCGAAGGCAGACGCTCAACGACTGAGCCACCCAGGCGCCCCTAGACCTGACTTATTCTGAATTCCATTCAGAATTAAGTTTATCAGTTTGGGATATAGTTTAAGTCAGGGCATTTGTCAATAGTTATGAACCTTGAAGAAACTATGAGTTATGTACCCTAGAGTCTTTAGGCATAGGGGTATATGTTGGCATAAGAATCCTCAGGTGCATTTTAAGGAAGCTCTTAAAGTCACTGAGAAACTGGTGGAAACATGTCAAGAAAAAAGTGAGAGATGATAAACATGGGATAATGTTCAGAATCTCAAGTTTATACCACTGACTGATTTCTACATATCTAAATGGTTTGAGACTTTACTAACTTTAGTTGTGGCAAAATAATATTTATTCTTTTCTGATGCTTTCCTTAATGTTTCTGTGGAGATTTTTGTGCAAAGAAAACTGCTGTCTTTAAGGAATTATTAAAAGCAAAACATAAAAAATCCTGGTACAAATAACTAGCTTAATATTAATACTTGTTTCTTTTCTTCTTCTTTTTTTTTGTAAAGATTTTTATTTATTTATTCTAGGGAGAAAGAGAGAGCGCAAGTAGGGGGTAGAGGGAGAGACTCTCAAGCAGACTCCCAGCTGAGCAGGAAGCCCGATGTAAGGCTTGATCTCATGACCCTGAGGATCATGACCTGAGCTGAAATCAAGAGTTGGATGCTTAACTGACTGAGCCAACCAGGCGCCCCTAATGCTTGCTTCTTAATAAAGAAATACTAATTATAAGTGAAATTCACCCATGAAGAAAAGGAAAAACTATTTTAAAAATTGTCCTGTAAGAGTAATATATAAAGTTTTAGTCCTACTTACAACAATCCAGTTCATCTGACTTGTCACTGCAATCCACATTATGATCACATTTCTTATGTTTTCCAATGCACTGACCGTTGGAACAGCGGAACTGATCAATTAAACAAAGCACTGGGGAAAAAATGTAAATAGTTTTCTTATTTTTACTAGCATGTAAAGTCAAACTCTGGCAAGAGTCAAAAAGTACTTTCTGGATGTAAATGAAAAACAAATTAGACTTTAAAATATAACTTAAAAATTATTCTCTGGGGATTTCCATTGGTAGAGAGAAAAGAGTAGAAAAAGAAATCCAGCAGGAAATTTCCTATTTTGTTCTTTACATTAAATTTCATCTTTCACTAATAATTCTGTTAAGAATTAAAGAATTCTATCTACATGCATTTCTTTCTTTGATTGATTGATTGACTGATTGATTTATCTATCTATCTATCTGAGAGAGAGGAGAAAGTGTGCACAAGCAGTGGGTAGGTGCAGAAGGAGAAGCAGACTCCCCGCTGAGCAGGGAGCCCAAACCAGGGCTCAATCCCAGGACCCTGGGATCATGACCTGAGCTGAAGGCAGAGCTTAACTGCCTGAGCCACCCAGGTGCCCTCTACGTGCTTTTCTAGACACTAAAAAATTCTAGAGAATTTGTTTTTACCATGTTAAAGGTTAGTGGTGCAAAGAGGAAGATATGAAATTATTTTACATTGTAATAAATAAACCTAAATCAGAGTTCAATGGAAACAAGGACTATTTTTACATACTGAAGGTCTAACTTATAGGCCTCATCCTCAATCTGCAAAGCTTATTAAAGTGTATAAACCTTATGCATGATAAGTGGATTAAAACAACAATATGGAACATGCTACTAGGTTTAAACATAATAAAGTCAAATGTACTTGAAAAAACCCCAAATCTACCATTGAGCCAAAGCAATACCCTGAATTTCAAACAACTGAATATTAATGGAAAAAAAGACTACACAACCAGGCCCCAGGAATTTCAGATACCTTCACAGTTCTTCTCATCTGATTTATCCTGGCAGTTTGCATCTCCATTGCATCGGAGGGCACCATCAATACACTGCCCACTGGCACACTGGAACTGGGACTCTGAGCATACGGGACAATTGAGCTCGTCACTGTGGTCTTCACATTCAGTAAACCCATCACAGCGCCAAGCCACAGGAATACAGTCAATTTCTCCCGTGAAGCAAGTGAACTGCTGAGGAGAACATGTTGGGGGTTCTTCAAATGAACAAGGGGGAGAAGAGTGACAAAAACACAACAGTCACACAAATGTACAAACACACTTGAGTGAAGCTCACTTAACATATGCAAAACACTTTTTAATAGATAAAATCTGTAAACTACCCCATCTAACCAGAAAATAAATACAATTTTTACACTACTACATTTAGATTTACTAACTTGCAAAACTATAAGACAGAAAAAAGTTTTCTCATATAATTCAAGTAGGATTATTTGCCATCCATTATAATCTCACACATAACTGAGGAATAATCACCATAATCATCCACCTACAAATATTTTAAAGTTAGCTTACAATTCATAAATTTTCTAGTGATGAGGTTCTCAAAGAGCAGCCCAGGAACCCTTGGGTAAGAGGATCTACAAAGTCAAAACTATTTTATAATAATACCGAGATGCCACTTGCCTTTCTACCACACTTGCCCTGACTCAACAAAAGGAATGGCTGGTAAAAGTCTTGGCACATTAGCAAACTCAAGTGGTTATCAAACTGTTACTAGTAGTCACTGCATTCTGTACAGCCACACACTCAGAGTTTAAAAAAAAAAAAAAGCCAGTTTTATTTTAAAATGTTCTTGATGAACCAGTAAAAATATTAACTATATTAAAATCAACTCTTGGAATACATGCTGTCTTTTCAATAGCATTTGATAAAATGGGAAGTATGCATAAAGCTCAGGTTGTATACCTCAGTATGATGGTTTCTCACAGGAAAGCACTTTGAGTTCTAAGCTCAACCCAAAATGGAACACTATTTTTATTTTAAAATTGAAAGAACTGACAAATAAACTATAGTTATTTACACTTCGGTATCTGGCAAGAAGTTTAAAAAAATATGAATTAGCGAGGAGATAGTCCAAGATGGTGGAGGAGTAGGAGACCTCAGTTTCGTCTAGTCCCAAGAATTCAGCTAGATAGCTATCAAATCATTCTGAACACCTATGAACTCAACCAGAGATCTAAGCTGCAACTCTACAAATAGAAAAGTGACCACTTTCTGCAAGGTAGGAGGTGCAGAGAAGTGAATCTGAGGCCATATATCAGAAGATAAACTGAGCGGGGAGGGAGCCTCCATAAGCCGGCACCCGAGAGTGATAAGAGCAGCAGAGCACAAGATCAGAACTTTTAGAAGTCTGCTCCGGTCAGGGATGTCCCTGCCTGAAAAGTGTTCAGGTGGAAAAGTGGGGCGGAATCCTAGGTGGGACAGTGTGGTCTCAGGATCTCCGGGGTCACAGGAAGACCAGGGGTGCCTGACTGTGGCAGAGTTCCCAGGCACTGGAGCAGGGAATCTGGCTGCAATCAGCGAGCCCAGGAATGGGCTCTCAGCTTGGGGTTATCATATACCACCAACCCAGGGGTGACTGCTCCGTTGGAGGGGCCACCAACCACCGTGGGGTGACTGCTCTCCGAGCAGGGGCCCAGTGAGCAGCAGAACCACAGCAAGACCCCACTCTCTCCCCCAGGAGTGGCACAAGTGCACACCACACAAGTCTGCAGGGTTTGGAGCCTTGAAACGGGGTTATGGGCCTGAGACAGAAATACCTGGTCACAAGTTGGGTGAGCACGGAGTGCGGTTGGAGACCAGGGAGATGGAAGTGATTGATTGCTTTTCCCTGAGAGCACACTGAGAAGTGGGGCCCCCACTCTCCGCTCTGGGGCTGGGGATTGGGAGGCGGCCATTTTCACTGTCATCCTCTAAAGAGCACAGAAAGCCTTCAGGGAACAAAAGCCACATAGAGCAATCTGGAGCCGCTTACTTAGCCTGGCCCTCTGGCAAGGGTGGTGCAGTTCCAGCTGGGACAAAGACACCCAAGAATCAACGCAATAGGCCTTTCCCCCAGAAGATCAGCAAAAACATCCCACTAAGACCAAGTTTACCAATCATCATATACAACTGTAAAACGACAGCACTAGGGGAAAACAGTATATAGAATTCATGTTTTTCCCCCCATGATTCCTTAGTCTTTCAATTTTTTTTGTCTCTTTCCTTTTTCAACCAATTTCTTATTTTATCAACTTTTGGAATTTTCATGTTTACAGTTACATTCTATCTTTTTGTTGTATTTAATTTTTGTATATAAGTTTTTCTTTCTTTATAATTTTGGAAAGCAGTTTCTTCTAACAGACCATAATACACCCAGAATCTAGTGTATGGACCTGTTCTCTTCACCTGTCTGATACTCTTTTTTTTTTTTAACTTTTCTTTTTTTTGTTAAAGTCTTTTCAAAATTTTTATCTCTACAATTACATTCTATCCTTTTAATGTATTTAATTTTATTTTTGTGTGTGTGTATATATATATATATATAAAATGTGTACATATATATAAGCTTTTCTTTCTTCACAATTTTGAGATGTAATTTTTTCTAACAAACCAACCAAAATACACTCAGGATATAGTGTATTGTGTATTGCTCTGTTCTGTTCACCTGTCTGTTTATAATCTTTCTTGTTTTCTTTTTTTTCTTTTGTCTTTTAACTTTCATTTTTACAGTTACATTCTATCCTTTCATTGTATTTAATTTTATTTTTGTACATATATAAGTTTTTCTTTCCTTACAATTTTGGACCTAGTTTTCTAACAAACAGACCAAAATATACACAGGATCCAGTGTATTGCTATTCATCTGTCTGATTATATTCTTTTTTTTTTTTTAATTTTAATTTTTTTCTTTTTTCTGTTTTCAGTCTCTTCTGATTTGTTTATTGTGTATTTCTCTAGGGTTGTCATTGCTATTTTAGTATTTTGTTCTCCTGTTCAGCTATTCTTCTCTGGACAGAATGACAAGACAGAAAAACTCACCTCAAAAAAGAAAACAAGAGGCAGGACTGACTGCCAGGGACCTAATCAGTATGGACATAAGTAAGATGTCAGAACTAGAGTTCAGAATAATGATTATAAAGATGCTAGTTGGACTTGAAAAAAGCATAGAAGACACTAGAGAATCTCTTTCTGGAGAAATAAAAGAATTTTAATATATATAATAATATATAGAAACAATGACTTTACAGGTAATACAATGGCACTAAATTCATATTTTTCAATAGCTACTCTGAATGTAAATGGGCTAAATGCCCCAATCAAAAGACACAGGGTATCAGACTGGAAAAAAAGCATCACCACTGATATGCTGTCTGCAAGAAACTCATTTTAGGCCCAAAGACATCTCCAGATTTAAAGTCGGGGGGTGGAAAACCATTTATCATGCTAATGGACATCAAAAGAAAGCTGGGTGGCAATCCTTATATCAGATAAATTAGATTTTAAACCAAAGACTATAATAAGAGATGAGGAAGGACACTACATCATAATTAAAGGGTCTATCCAACAAGAAGATCTAACAATTGTAAATATTTATGCCCCTAACATGGGAGCAGCTAATTTTATAAACCAATTAATAAAATTAAAGAAACACATCGATAATAACACAATAGTAGTAGGGAACTTTAACACCCCACTTTATTGCAATGGACAGGTTGTCTAAGCAGAAGATCAACAAGGAAACAAGGGCTTTGAATGACACACTGGACCAGATGGACTTCATATATTCAGAACATTCCATCCTAAAGCAAGAGAATACACATTCTTCTCGAGTGCACATGGAACATTCTCCATAATAGATCACATAGTAGGCCACAAATCAGGTCTCAACCAGTACCAAAAGATTGGGATCATTCTCTGTGTATTTTTGGACCACAGTGCTTTGAAAATGGAACTCAATCACAAGAGGAAATTTGGAAAGAACTCAAATACAGGGAGGCTAAAGAGCATCCTACTAAAGAATGAATGGGTCAAACAGGGATTAAAGGAGAACATTAAAAACTCATGGAAACAAATGAAAATGAAAACATAACTGTTCAAAACCTTTGGGATGCAGCAAAGGCAGTTAAGAGGGAAGTATACAGCACTACAAGCCTTTCTCAAGAAAGGTCTCAAATACACACCTAACTTCACACCTGAAGGAGCTGTAGAAAGAACAGAAAATAAAGCCTAAACCCAGTAGGAGAAGAGAAATAATAAAGCTTAGAGCAGAAATGAAATAGAAACCAAAAGAACAGTAGAACAGATCAATGGAACTAGGAGCTGGTTCTTTGAAAGACTTAATAAAATTGATAAACCCCTGGCCAGACTTATCAAAAAGAAAAAAGGACCCAAATAAAGAAAATAATGAAAGAGAAGAGATCACAACCAACACCGAAGTAATACAATTATAAGAACATATCATGAGCAATTATATGCAAACAAATTGGCAATCTGGAAGAAATGGATGCATTCCTAGAGATGTATAAACTACCAAAACTGAAACAGGAAGAAATAGAAAACCTTAACAGACCCATAACCAGCAAGGAAATTGAAGCAGTAATCAAAATCTCTCAAAAACAAGAGTCCAGGGCCGATGGCTTTCCAGGGGAATTCTACAAAATAGAAGAATTAATACCTATTTTTCTGAAGCTAGTCCAAATAACAGAAATGGAAATAAAACTTCCAAACTTGTTCTGTAACGCCAGCATTGCCTTGATCCCAAAGCCAGACAAAGACCCCACAAAAAAGAGAATTACAGACCAATATCCCTGATGAACATGGATGCAAAAATTCTCACCAAGATACTAGGCAAAAGGATCCAACAGTACATTAAAAGGATCATTCACCATGACGAAGTGGGATTTATCCCTGGGCTGCAAGGGTGGTTCAACATCCACCAATCAATGTGATACACTACGTTAATAAAAGAAAGGACAAAAACCATATGATACTCTCAATAGATGCAGAAAAAGCATTTGACAAAGTACAGTATCCTTTCTTGATTAAAACTCTTCACAGTGTAGAGATAGAGGGAACATACCTCAGTATCATAAAAGCCCTATACAAAAAGCCCAGGGCAAATACCATTCTCAATGACAGCTTTCCCCCTAAGGTCAGGAACAAACCAGGGATGTCCACTATCACTACTGTTGTTCAACATAGTACTAGAAGT